AGCAGGATGATGAAAATATCTGGCTGGGAGGGGAATGTCTGGCTGCACTCAGCTGTAAAACTTCAAATCCTTCCTACCTTGCAAGTGACAAGAAACTATGGGATGGAGGCTGGCAGTGCCTGAACTATAGTTTGTCTGGGGAAGGTGGGGGTGGAGGAGGGGTGCTAGAGACAGCAGAGAAGGATAAAAGGAAACTGCGGATGCAAATACAGTGTCTTTGAGAATCCGGTGCTAAAATATACAGCACCCAGAGGGATTTGGGTCTCAAGGAAAAAAATTGGCAGAAGCCAAATGCAGGCTGTTTGTTATAGCCAAGTGGAGTAGCCCACAGAAGCAAACTCGCGCTTGAATCTGTGGAGGGAAGCGGAGCAGAGCAGAGCCCCAAGTAAGTAGCTTCCTGGGCATCCAACCAACTTCAAGGACTCCATTCTGTGTAGACCCCTTTGCTATATTAACTGGGCTCCTTTTGCTTCCAGGGACAGCAGGAGTGTGCAGACAAAGGACCTGCATCTTTCCTCCGCTGCAAGAACACTATGAACTCAGTCTTGACCAAGTATGGTTCCCCCCCTCGGAGCTGGCTCAACTTGCGCCTGGGGATGAGTGAGTAAATCATCTTGGTACCTGCTCAGGGAGGGAGCTGCCATCCTCCATAGTACTTAGCACTTGACAACCATTAACTAATGAGTGACCTGCTCTGCTTGCTATCAGCAGCTAATGACTGCTGGCATCTCCCATCTAGTGTGCACCACGGTGCTCTCATTAATCAGCAGGGTAATAAGCTAATGGTGTGAGAGCTAAGACCATTGCAAGGCTGCAGAGGGCAGTTTGAGGAACTAGCAGTGATGAGATAAGGGCTGGCTCTAAATTCTGGGGATCTTTTTTCAATGGTATGGAAGGGGCTAAAGGCTCCTAGGTAGTTTCATGCCCTTTGATGGATAAACAAGCAGACCTTCATTGTGGAAGGTTAGAGACAGATGCAGCCTCTTCACATGATCAGTGAAACCTTGCTGTTCTGGTGGACTGGACTCCTAGCCTCTGCAGTACCTAAGCCCCTATCAGCCCCCTTCAAGGGGAAGAGGACAATTTGTGATAATTAATGTGTTTGGAAAATAGGGCTCAAGACTCAGCTTCATTGGTACATCACTGTAACAGAAGCTGCCTCTTGATGGTGTGTCTCATCTTTGGCATGGGTGATAGTTGTTTGAGCCCCAGACTACCAGAAGCCAGCTATTAGGGAGGGTAATGTTTGTCTGCAGTTTGAGTAGCCTGGTTAGGTATGTCTCACCTGGACTTTATCGGTCTCTTCCACTGGGAAAGCAGCGGTGATTTGGACTGTATGGTATGCACAAGTCATGTTTTCAGATTGGGATCTCTGACAGTGGCTCTCAATGCTGCCACAGCTCATTGAACTGATCGTTGACAAAGTTGGCTTCAGAGCATTCAGACTTCCACAGACCTCCTGGCAATTGACACCTCCTTCTGGAGGCTCCCAGAATGGACCTGCATGACAGACCTATGGTTCCCCTGGGTTGTGGCATTCACCTGAAGTCCAGCATATAACAAGCAACTGGACTTGGTGAAACCCAGAGCTTCACAACACTTACTCAGTTCTGACTTCTTGAATCATAGTCTGCTGCAGCTTCTTGCTGGTACAAGAGCCACAGTAGAGCCCATATGTGTTGTCCATGGTCCCCTACACGCATAAAGAGCTTGTACATAGCTAAGGGAAAGGACAAGGGCTAGCAGGTTTGACTTGTGAGGGTATCATCTGAGGGGTTGTATGCAGTTAGAATCATAGAGAAGTAGGTTTGGAAGGGACCTCCAGAGGTGGTTTAGTTTAACCCCCTGCCTGAGTCAGGACTGTCCCTATCCAAACCATAGTATCCATAATCTGCAGACTATCTGTAATCTAAACTCTACATAAGAGTACCATCAGCCCTGATGCAGCACAGACCTAACACCCTAACGTCACAGGTAAAGCACAGGAACCACTGCAGTCAATGCCCTGCTTCTATAAAATGTTGTCTATATGTGCAAGAGTTCCTGAGTAGAGGGATCACTGCTAGTGAAAATTGGGGCCCACTTTAATGACTTGCCATGTTTGCATCTTAGAGATTGTTGTGTATCAGGGATGCTTCTTGATGAAGTTGAGATGCTTCCCTTTGAATTTAGTCACTCTCTATTGCTATATTCTTCCTTGTCTCGGTTTGTCCCCAGAGTGGCTACTCAAGGAGTTTGCACATTTGGTTTTTTCTCCCCTCAGTGCTGACATTGAAAAACCTTCTTGTTCTTTCTTCAGTGTTAAATGTCACAGGTCTGTTGCTGAAATTTGCTTGGAGGAGAAAGTGTGCATTGGCAGAGAAATAACGATAGTCAATAGTTCAGTTGTACAGCGGAAGATGTAGGAAGCATTCATGGTGCAAGAGGCTAGAATGCCATTTTTGGGTTTTTCTCTGTGGTGGAAGTTCTGTCCTGTCATTTTTTTCAGTTCGTTTTACTGGCATCAGTTTAGTCTGGAGTAGTGAATACCAGAGCTTTGTGCATCCACTCGCAAGTTTCATCATCTGGATAAGGGGTTCTCTAATATTTGGAGGAGCAGATCATTCACCATGAAAGCAGAGACTGTGTGTGTTGAGGTGAGATAGTATCTGACATATATTAAGAATGGGTGTGTAACTTTCAGAGCTGATGCCATAAAACAGTGTTTCTACATTGACTTCCATCCCTCCCA